ACAGGGAGCAAGTACAAACGTACGAAAGAAAGGGTTTTGCTTGTCTAAGCACTAGACAGACAGACAAACTGTCTGATACTGACAGTTAGAAAACAACTTTAACACGTTTTGCATGTGTAGCCAGTCAAGGCAAGGCTGTTGCAGATGATTTAACTTCAAAAAACTTCTGTATCGAGGAAGAAAAAATGGCAACCAAAGAAAGGAGTATGAAATATTCCTTTCTTTTTAATTTATTCATTTGCGCCATACGTTGCCATCCATGATTTATGATTAGTTCCGAAGACATTTTAATTAAATTGATATGAATGTCCTGTGAAAAAAATAGACAAATCTGAGCAAAAATTGTATATGGTGTGAAGAGATTTTTCCATGGAGTGTATAAATTAACACATTGTCACAGGGACTACAGGAGAGATGAAATAAAAAGTTGAAGGAAATATGAGGATCAATTGAAAAAAAGAAGCAGAATGCTACACACATTCTGCAAAGTATGACCAGGATTTCTCAATGCATTTTGTTGATAAATATATGAACACCGATGTTTTGTTAGACCAACAATACATAGAGGGCCGACAATTTTAAATGTCTCATATTGTTATTTCTACTCCTAATGTAAACAGTTTGTATGTTAAACAAATCTTAAACGCCTAAAAGTATGCATCATACATAAAACACACAGGTATCAGATGCAGTATCGTAAATCACTTTAGGAATTATTGGGCATTTTTATTTATATTTCCGAGCTTTAATATATTATAAAAAATGCAAAAAAATCGCAAATATTTTTTCTTATTTAAAAAAATATAAAGAAAAGAAAAATATAATGAAATAATGAAATATCAAAGAATGTCAAAATCTTCGACAAGCTAAAAAGGAAAATAAAAGATATACATTAAAAAGCCGCATTCAGTATTCAATTTCAATCACCTAAAATTAGTTCTGTGATATATTTAATTTTTAATTGTTATTATTTATTTATTGGCGAAAATCCCATGCCTACAACATTTAACTATATCAACAGTCGGGGATCTAAAGAACGTGTGTACGAATGTCGGTATAATACAAGATTAACTTCCAGGATGACTACATTGGCTGTGGTGTTCGTATTTCATGACCAATCTTTCTATATCTGGATATTTATGGCGTGGTGTTTGTATTTCATGGCCTATCTTTCTATACCTGGATATTTATGGCGTTGGTCCCGTTGTTGAATCCTTGGACACTGGGAAGCCAATAATAATGAATTGAAAAAAAATCATTTACTTTTTCCATTCAAATACACTCACACGCATACTAAAACAAGAAATTTGCTCTTTCTTTTGACAAAAATAAATGTATTCCCTCAAAGTAAAATAATCAATACCACTATTCGTGGTTCTGCTCTGTTTTGTTTGGTATTGCCCTGGCCTCAATTGGTAGTTTCTACTTTTTTGTCTGTTTGCCCAATGCTTCTCTGCCATCTCTCCACTCACTCGTTTGTGATTGTGTTTTGCATTCCATTGTTTTTTAATTTCAGACACTGCTACTGACCTCTTCATTAGCGTTGTACAATTCTCATATGTATTTTCCAAATTATTTCGATATAAATGCCAAATACAATATATCAAACAAGTGTTGATATGAGCAACGAGACCGACCAAATGTTTATACCCTACACAACTATGTTGTCAGGGTATTATAGCTTTGTGCAGCCCCAAAATTAATATTTAGGGGATGAAATGGACCAAGTACTTAATTTTTGTCGGTTTTTCTGGTCACTCCACAGGTCGCAATTATGGCTCAAACATCGCAAATTTTTACATGGAGAAGGGGATCGGGTCAAAGAATATGTATGCCTGTTTTCATAAAGATGGGTCAATATTTAGCAGGTCAAATGGACCCTGAACTTTGTGTGAAAAATGACAAAATTTTTATTCTATAGCGTATATATATCCCTGAAGGACATAGACACGAGAAGTTGATACTATATCCATGAGTGGTGGTTGACTTTTAAATTGATACCACTTATATTGTCGTATGTACTCGCATGTTGGAGTTGCACGTAAATAGTTACAGGTGCTTACGTATTCAGATATTATTTAGCAACCCATTACCACATTAGAAGGCGAAAATATAGCGCGGATCGCTGATCCGCTCACTGGTTTTATTATATTAATGTTGTGAGGTCCGTTCTTTTAATTTAACACTAGAACGCCGAAGGTGGTCATTTTGACCGCTTTCCAATTTCAAGTACAAAAGCAACTGTGCATTTAATGACACTTTTTCGGCGTTCTAGTGTTAAGTAAATAATAAACCAAAATTACATTCCAAATCTATAGAGGCCAACAAAAAACGTAAATTTTTAATGAAATATTTCCATTTTATGTATTTCCTTATTCGCATAAGTATACTTATATGTATATAAAATATATACAATACTCTTTTTAAAAATGATAATAATTAAAAAATATTTATGCCCCTAATGAAATATTTAAATACTTTTAAAATGTGTATCTATAAACCATTTTTTTTGCTAAATGTTATATTTTTCTCGCCTAAAAGTATGCATCACACATTTTACCAAATTGTTTAAAATAAAATGATCATTATTCAAAATACGTTTACCCTTAATGAAATATTCCAAAAAACTCTAATGTTTGTCTAAAACCATTGTTTGCAAAATGTTATATTTTTTCTCGCCCAAAAGTATGCATCACACATTATAGGAAAAATCATTGTAATTTTAATCAAACACTTATAGGGGGAAATCAAAGCCAATGTTATATAATAAAAATATTTACATTGATTTAAATATTTATAAGTGTTTGAAATATTTTTCCAAATTGTCTATTTTATCAAAATTTTAAATATTTCAAAAATTATAAAATTACGTTAAAAATTGTTACGCTTATTCGAGGGGAAATTAAAAGTTTCACCAGTTTAATTATATATAGTTAAAATATTTTCATTTATAAGCTTTCGATATAATTTTTATTGTATATTGCCTAAAACTATGCATCACATATTACAAAAATTTAACAAACTGTGATTTTATACATGAATACATTAAATAGGAAATTACCACAGTTTTAAATATTTTGTTTTACATTTTAGAAAAATTAAAATTGTTGCCTGAAAGTATGCATTAGACAATGTTATGTATAGGAATTATAGCAATTTTTCGAATATCATACCCTCGTTTATATTGAGTTGGTCATTTTTAATATTTGATTTGAAAGTGATTATTATTATTTATATAAAACACAATACTTTGCCGAAAAGTATGCACCAATACTTTCCAAAAGAAAATATTTTCAAACACATGACAAATTTACTGTAATAACTATATTTTCCACCATAATTTGCTAGTATTTCAAATTATTATCAAAATTCACAGCTGTAATATCCACATCTGTAATATCTAATCAACTTCGAGTTCTTTCCCCTTAGATATATATTTATTTTATCAAAAAATAATTAAATGCTAATACACATGTTTGTCAGGGCAGGAATATTAATGTCTCTGTTATCAAAAACACATCCACATACATAAAATATTTTTGTGTGTGTGAATAATTTTATTTGCATATTTTTATGATTACCATTTTTTGTCAACTCCAATCGTCGTCGGACGACGTCAGTAGGTTTTCTCGCCTAAATTGAAATGACAATTTATTAGTTCACCTGTTGAGAGGGGAAAAGCACATGTTTTTCGTTGTTTGTTTATCTCCTTATCAGGACATTATTATTATTATTATTATTATTTTCGGTATTTTTTATTAGAAATTTTCATGTTTAACAAGGGTACGGGCTTACCACCTGTACGTAGTAGTTGATGTCGATAAGAAAAACAAACATTGTGTGGTAAATTGAAAGCTTATCGGAAACGTTTTGTTGATACAATTCGAGGGTGGTGTTTTGGAAAAACAGAAAGCAGTGATTTTTTGGGGAAAATTTGGAGGGGGTGGGTTTGTTCATGAAAATGAATATTCAATATAGTGGATTGATATAAAGCATACACATGATTTAAATAAAAAACTACGCAGATTTTTGAGGAATATTGTTCTGGAATCATAAGTATGGATTTTTGAAGAATATTTTTCGTAGAATCCTCAACACAAGAATTTAATTTTTTTAAGAATATTTTTCCTGGAATCATTAAATACATAAGTGTAAGGGAGAACGTCTAAGAATATTTTTCATAGAGTTCTGGAAACCACTAGATTGTATTTTAATTTAGGCCTATTTTTCCAAGAGATTAAAAAATCATAAGCGTGAGTTTTTTAAGAATATTTGTCATAAAATCCAAAAAAATATTAACTTGGGATTTTTTAAGAAAAAAATCATATCATCCTCAGAAATATAGGTGTGAATATTTTAGGAATATATTTACTACAATTCTCAGAACCATTAGCAAGGATTTTTTAACATTAATTTTCCTAGAATCTTTATGAATATTTTTCCTAACGTTGATATTAAAAAAATATTTTTCATAACATTTCGTAAGTTTTCGCATTTAGTTTTTAGGAATATCTTTTCATAAAATCCAGAAAACCATAATCGTGGTGGTTTTTAAGAATATTTTTATAAAATCAAGAAAGCCATAAGCGTAGGGTTTTTAAGAATATTTTCTATAAAATCAAGAAAGCCATAAGCGTGGGGGTTTATTCATAAAATCTAGAAGTATTATTAAGAATATTTTTCATAAAATCTTTAAAACTATAAGCCTGGGGTTTTTACGTAAAACCCAGAAAACCATCAGCATGGGCTTTTTAAGAAAAGTTTTCATAAAATCCAGAACGGTGTTGTTTTTTTTTTAAATTTTGTTTACATAAAAACCATTAACGTTGTATTTTAAGAATAGTTTTCTTAAAATCCAAAAAATCATAAGCGTGGGATTTTTAAGAATTTGTTTACTACAATTATTAAAACAATAAGCAAGGACTTTTTTTAGGAATACTTTTCCTAGAATCCCTAGAACCACGCTTAGGTAATTAATAAAAATGATTACACTAGCTTACCATATTTATCATCGACAGCAGCATATGGTGGTGTGGCATCATTAATTGAAATCGACGATCCACCACCATCCGAACTGGAATCACCCAAAATACCAGCTGCAGCGACATTACTAAATGTTATAGTGGTCGGTGGTATGGCCGGACCATCCTGCTGTTCCATGGAAGTGGGAGTTGTGCGTTCCGGTTTTAAATCAGTCTCAATATAATCACCATTATCATAATTCGCATTCAACGAATCATCATCATCAGTGTCATCATCATCCTTATTCAAATCCTTTGCATCATTTACTGGCGGCTGAGGGGTACTGGTCACAGTCATCACATTATTGGAAGTATTTGGAGTCGAAGCTCCATTTTTGTTTTCAGTTGCCTGAATTGAGATCTCGGGTTTGCGTGTTGTAAATGGCACCGGTGAAGATAATTCCACCTCAAAGCTGGGCAGCGTTGTGCTTGTGGAAGCGGTGGTCATGGGTCCACCTAAATTCTCCTGGATAATGCCCACAAAGAGGAAGAGTTTAAGGAAGAGACGTAGAGTATTTTGACATTTGTTGCGTGCCATTGTGCGTTTTGTTGCTGTTGTTGTGTTTCGAGACAGTTGTTGTATGTTATCCTTTTGAAGGATATATTAATTTTTTCAATTCGTTGTGCGTTGTTGTTCTTGTAGAGGACAAATGACTTGTTGGTGCAGAGACAAAACCACTTCGGTGCTAAGGTGTGTTTTTTTTCGTGGTGTTGTTGACTTGTTGTGCGTAGATTGTTGTTAATTTTTTAGTTTTATTGCCCACTGTGCCTGATGTGATAATCAAGCATTAGGGGCCCTTGGCTTACAATACTCTATAATAATGGAGACATTGTTCTTGTTTGGTTTTCGAGTCTGTAGCAATGAAAATCTTAAGAGATTTTCTTTTTTATTAATTCTCTAAATGTCTAACTCACACACAGTCTGTTTATGTTACTTTATAATATGTAACTAAATTTAAAAACAAAAAATATTATTTTTATTTATTAAAAAAAAACACACAATGAACAAAATGAAATTAATCTTTCTGGAGGAAATTCCGCATGTCAAAATTGGTTGCCAAGTTATTGTTGGCCATTTTCGCCGTTGTTCGGCAGCTGGAAGCACATTTCCAAAACTGCCACTTAGTCTTAATGTTATGGCTGCTGTTGTTTTTGCTGCTGCCGCTGCTGCCTTTGTGGTTGTTGCCTTTTGTGTTTCCATTGATTTTTATGTTTACGTTTATTTTTCACATTTCTTTTTGTTGCGAATTTTGCTGTTGTTGTTTTTGGTTTTGTTTTGATAACACCATTCATAATCGTGTCAAATACGCGTTTTGTTTCTCTGTGTGTACCTCCCCGTCAATGTACCCGCTGCTGCCGCAAACCATTTCACTCGATGTGTTATTGACCCAATCTAATTTTGTTAAAAAAAAAATGTTTTTTTTTGCTCTTTTTTCATTGGCTTTGTATTTTTGCCGAAATGAGATTTTAAATTTATTTTTTGAAAAAATGTACATCGTATAATTCACAGTTTTGTCTTTATCACAAAATAAATAAATGAATTAAATGTGCCATGAAAGCAGCAGCAGAAGTGAAAACGTGAAAATGATTTCAAATCGAAGATATTTTTAAAAAACGAGGCGGACATTTTGATCATGAAATTGATCGATTTTCAAGGAAGTTTGAGCAGGTCAACGGCGATTATACATGTATAAACCTTTTAGATCTGAAATCGTGGATATGTTGTCTGGTGTATTTATAGATACATTTGGAATATTACCAGATTTTGAGGGCCTGTTTCAGCCTCCTCTGATGTTAAATATTCGCAATGTGGTAAAAAGTACTAATAAACCAGAATATAGAATTATTAAGAGTGAATTTTAAGCAGATTGCGGAGAATGATTAAAATACGCTCTTTGTCACGAATGCTCACGCGCGAGAATTCGAATGTGTTTAATTTATCGCGAATGACAAAGTTACAATGAATGAACAAGCATTTGCAATCTCTCGCGAATGTTAGCATTGTACGAGAAATTCACGAACGATAAGATTTCGCTGCAAGCGGCGTCGATTCGTTCGTTCGTGAGCATTTGTTGCTGGAGAACATTCTTTTGAAAAACACGAAAAACAAATGTTCTCGAATGCTCGCCACCACCAAACGAAACGAACGATCGTTGTTGTGTACTCGTTTGTTATGTGTGTGCGAACATTCTTTGGCGAATGATCGTTTGGTAAAGAATTTATCGCCATAAATTCATTTGTAAAATGAGCACAAAATGAAAAGAATGTATTTTAGTTCATTCGCGAGCGAATTTTTGCGCACCCTGATTTTAAGGATATTTTTCAGAGGCCACCATTTTCGGGAAAAAATTAATATATTATCCAAGTTAATGTCTCTCAATGTAGAGGGCGTTATTGAAAATATAGAAAACTAGATGACATGCAAAGCGCCATCTACATGTCAAATGGACCAACTATGCACATAACTTTTTAGGGTGGATTTTTTAAGACATATGTTTCATATAATTCTCAGAAAGAAAGGCGTGGATTTTTTGGAATATGTTTACTAGAATACTCAGAACCATACGCGAGGATTTTTTAGGAATAATTTTCCTGCAATCCATAGAACCACGCTTATGTGGATTGTGTTGCAAATATTTTTCCTTGAATTGTGCGGGGGTATTTTAGAACTATATTCACTAGAATACTTAGAACAATATGGGAGGATTTTTTAGCAATAATTTTCCTAGAATCTCTATAAAAAATTACAATAAGTGTAATAGGCAATGTAAAGGCAATAACAATAGAAAATTAAATTACATTCGGAGCGCCATCTACACGTCATGTGGGACAAATATGTATCCTACTTTTATATTCTATCAAAGACGTTGAAAAAGATGTTTTTGTATCGTTCAGGCAAGCAGTGGCGTAAATATCTGCATCAAAATTAAATGTGACATTATGTTTCTGGCATCCAAATTTTACCAGCATTGAAGAATAAATTAATCTACCAGTCATTCCCATTTCTACTTTTTAATATTTCTCTATATTCATTTGAAATTTTCAAATTTTCATTAGTATCTTCCCTCCTTTGCATAGCAACACAACGCCCAATTGTATCCGATTCCATTTCTATATTAGTGTGGGAATAAAACTACTTAATAAACGAGTACTCATTCATTACATTTTAATTAAATACATTTGCATTAAAGGCAATAACAATATGGGAGGATTTTTTAGCAATAATTTTCCTAGAATCTCTATAAAAAATTAAATAAGTGTAATGCAATGTAAAGGCAATAACAATAGACATTATGTTATCTGCATCATAAAATAAATGTGACATTATGTTTCTGACATCCAAATTTTACCAGCTTTGAAGAATAAATTAATCTACCAGTCATTCCCATTTCTACTTTTTAATATTTCTCTATATTCATTTGAAATTTTCAAATTTTGCATTAGTTTTTCTATCTTCCCTCCTTTGCATAGCAACACAACGCCCAATTGTATCCGATTCCATTTCTATATTAGTGTGGGAATAAAACTACTTAATAAACGAGTACTCATTCATTACATTTTAATTAAATACATTTGCATTAAAGGCAATAACAATATTCGCATATATGTACGTTTTTAAAAAACATACATATATACAATAATTAACTTAAATGTATTTATTTTCATTGAAAATGCGAGAGAAATATATCTATTTTTTTTTTGTTGGTTCATGCCATTAAAATGGGTCATTTTTTGTTGTGCGGCATAATACAATTACTGCATATTGAGAAGTGTGTATATATGTATTTATTAGGGATGCTCACAAAAATATATTCTAAAAACCTATACCAGATTGAATTATGGGATTCAAAGAATGATATATTATTTTTGTATAAGAAAAATATATGGTCTAAGGTTATGTATCTCATATTTCTATAATTCTCCGAAATAAAGGCGTGTATTTTTTTGGAATATGTCGTAAAGGATGTTTGGCCTATTAAAAATATTTTTTCTATAATTCTCCTAAATAAAGGCGTGTATTTTTTGGAATATGTCGTAAAGGATGTTTGTTTGGCCTATTAAAATATGTTTGGTTCAAAAATCTCTCAAAATGTCGGAATAAGCTGTAAGCTATATCCTAAGTCAAATGGAATTAAAATAATTTGAATCTGAGATTTTCGAGATCAATTCCATTTCGGTATAATTCTATCAATTAATTACGGATCCATCTGAGACTTATTTAGTGCGCAAATTATCTAAGTTGTATGTTTATTGGATACCTTTTCTAATAAAATTGTCATCTAATTGAAATTGAAAAAAGGGATAGCTGATGGAACGTGTGAATTGCACTGATTGCAATGATAATGTCGTATTTAATTTAACGACAGGTAGTTCGACTTGATTTGATTTGTAGTCTGTTGGGGGAAATTACTAATATTGACTGGCAATACTACATTGTTTGTATAACAGGTAGATAGACAGATGGATGGCTGGATGAGTGTACAAAGGTAATGCAAAAAATGTTAATTAATTTACGAGGGTTGTAACAGAAGTTGTAATATAAAATATCACATCATAAATATCAGAATAAAATGTATGGACAAATTTCGAAAATAACTGATATCAATTTTGATAATACTAATGGGCATATAACTTATTTTCCAATGGAATATTTCTCTTCCGCAGTTGCATATAGGGAAGACAATTGAAAATAAAAAAACATAACCTCGACTTTTTTAATTTTTGAAAGTTTGCACAGATATTTAATTCTTAATATACAGTTTATAAATCATTGGGCCTGGCTATTTATGAAACCAATTCGTTAATACTTAAATATAAAAAAATCGGTTTCCCTGCCCATTTGATGGTCCCTCGTCAGGGACCATATATATTTTTTTGGTAGGCAATTCTAAATTATTATTTTTTCTAGTTATGACCACTTGCGTAATTGCATTTTTAATGACAATGTCATTAAACATTTTTGTTGCTTTATTATTATGATTGTGTTAGAGGAGGCGAGTATTGTAAAGAAAACTGTCATAAATTTTAGTAGTAGGTCGTAAAAAAAATTCTTGGAAAGTAGGTCCTCTAAAAAAGTGAAATGATGGATATTGACTGTGCACACTAAAAGCCGATAGTTGATTTAAAATACAGTTTTAAATTTTAAGTCTACTAGGAAGCTATAAAATAAAATTTCAAATAATGTTATTGAGAGAACTTGGTAAAAGAGCGTAATTTAAAATTAGAAAGGATCAGAATAGGAATACGTAGTCGAGTGCAAAAGTTGACTTTTAGACTTTTCGATTTGTGCCTCTCACCAAAAAGTCGATTTTTAGTCTTTTCGATTTTTGCCTTCGACTAAAAAGTCGACTTTACGATCTTTCGATTTTGTCAAACTTGTTGAAAATCGATTTTGGACTTTCTAATGGACTAATGCAAAATGGACAAAAAATGGTTTTTTTATATGAATTGTTGTCAACAGATAAAATAAAGTTCTGCATTGTCTAATTTTTTGGCAATTTTGGCTTTGGGATAATAAACCAAGTGTTTATAAAGAAA